GAATGCCTAACATAGTGAATGCTAATGGAAAGGGGGTAGGTTTAGCAGATAAAATAAAAAAAGAACAAGTTAAAAATCACTTAGAAAAGTTAGATGCCTGCAAGTCACCAGGGCCTGATGAAATGCATCCTAGAATACTCAAGGAGCTAATAGAGGAGGTATCTGAGCCTCTAGCTATTATCTTTGGAAAATCATGGGAGACGGGAGAGATTCCAGAAGACTGGAAAAGGGCAAATATAGTGCCCATCTATAAAAAGGGAAATAAAAACAAGCCAGGAAACTACAGACCAGTTAGTTTAACTTCTGTGCCAGGGAAGATAATGGAGCAAGTAATTAAGGAAATCATTTGCAAACACTTGGAAGGTGGTAAGGTGATAGGGAATAGCCAGCATGGATTTGTAAAGAACAAATCGTGTCAAACCAATCTGAAAGCTTTTTTTGATAGGATAACGAGTCTTGTGGATAAGGGAGAAGCTGTGGATGTGGTATACCTAGACTTTAGTAAGGCATTTGACACGGTCTTGCAAGATATTCTTATCGATAAACTAGGCAAATACAATTTAGATGGGGCTACTATAAGGTGGGTGCATAACTGGCTGGATAACCGTACTCAGAGAGTTGTTATTAATGGTTCCCAATCCTGCTGGAAAGGCATAACAAGTGGGGTTCCGCAGGGGTCTGTTTTGGGACTGGCTCTGTTCAATATCTTCATTAAGGACTTAGATATTGGCATAGAAAGTACGCTTATTAAGTTTGCAGATGATACCAAACTGGGAGGGATTGCAATTGCTTTGGAGGACAGGGTCATAATTCAAAATGATCTGGACAAATTGGAGAAATGGTCTGAGGTAAACAGGATGAAGTTTAACAAAGACAAATGCAAAGTGCTCCACTTAGGAAGGAAAAATCAGTTTCACACATACAGAATGGGAAGAGACTGTCTATGAAGGAGTACGGCAGAAAGGGATCTAGGGGTTATAGTGGACCACAAGCTAAATATGAGTCAACAGTGTGATGCTGTTGCAAAAAAAGCAAACGCGATTCTGGGATGAATTAACAGGTGTGTTGTGAGCAAGACACGAGAAGTCATTCTTCCGCTCTACTCTGCGCTGGTTAGGCCTCAGCTGGAGTATTGTGTCCAGTTCTGGGCACCGCATTTCAAGAAAGATGTGGAGAAATTGGAGAAGGTCCAGAGAAGAGCAACAAGAATGATTAAAGGTCTTGAGAACATGACCTATGAAGGAAAGCTGAAAGAATTGGGTTTGTTTAGTTTGGAAAAGAGAAGACTGAGAGGGGACATGATAGCAGTTTTCAGGTATCTAAAAGGGTGTCATAAGGAAGAGGGAGAAAACTTGTTCACCTTAGCCTCTAAGGATAGAACAAGAAGCAATGTGCTTAAACTGCAGCAAGGGAGGTCTAGGTTGGACATTAGGAAAAAGTTCCTAACTGTCAGGGTGGTTAAACACTGGAATAAATTGCCTAGGGAGGTTGTGGAATCTCCATCTCTGGAGATATTTAAGAATAGGTTAGATAAATGTCTATCAGGGATGGTCTAGACAGTATTTGGTCCTGCCGTGAGGGCAGGGACTGGACTCGATGACCTCTCGAGGTCCCTTCCAGTCCTAGAATCTATGAATCTATGAATCCAAGGGCCAAAACTATGAGTCAGTGGAGGCAATTCTAGCATTCCATCAGTAGCGAGAATCAAGCCTAGGTGATGTAAAATGCCTCCAGAGAGACTGTGGAGAGTGTGGTGAGAAGCAAGTCTTGATACACTTTTGGAAAAGTGTGGCTCATGCTCCTCTGCTAGTGCTCTCTTAGGTGCATGGAACAGGGGAAGGGATTCCAGGGCCACACCTCTCCACATACAGACATGCACACTTTGAGACAGTAAGTGCTGCCAGCAGTGTTAGGTGTCCCTATTCCCTGCACTCCTGAGCATAGTCAGTCAAATTATAGCTTCTTTCGAGTGGCTGCTTAAGGGCTGGAGAATTTTACAGTTGATCCTAACCTTAGCTCTGACTTGATGGAATAAACCACACCATCAGGGAGAGAGCAGCCTCTCTAATAACTCACTACCCGGCCACTTAGTAGACAATTGCACCTCTTGTCCCACTTCCTATTTAAAATCAAACTCTGTGGAATGACTTGTGATCATTTTCTAACATGCACTTCTTTGTGCCATGGACTGAGTTATAATCAATAAGGACCCAATTGTGCCCCAAGACACATATGCAACTGCCACTGACTTTATTAGGAGTTGTGTGTTCATGGCTGAAGGCAGAACTGTTGCCTAAAACTCAGGGCCGGTGCAACCATTTAGGCGACCTAGGCGGTCGCCTAGGGTGCTAGGATTTGGGGGGCGCCATTTTCTTCGGCAGCAACCGTGGCGGCGGGATCTTCAGCCGCCCCGGTCCCCGCCGGCATTTAGGCGGAGGGTGCTGGGGCAGTGGAGCGCGGGGAGGGCTGCCTGCAGCATTTTTTTTTTTTTGGTGCCTCAGGGTGGGGGGTGGGGAGCTGCCGCAGGGGGGCGCCTCAGGGTGGGGGGGAGGGGGAGCTGCCGTGGGGGGCGGGGCGCCTCAGGGCAGGGGCTAGGGGACGGGGGGGGGGGCAAGGTGGAAGTTTCGCCTAGGGTGCGAAACATTCTTCCACTGGCCCTGCTAAAACTTTAAGCAAAGCTCAGCCTTGGGCGCACAAATGAATGGCCAAACAGATCAGATTAAGCTATGGGGTACTTCAAAGGTTGAAGTGCAAACAGAGGTTCATTTACAAACGCCTAATTTTGCACTATTTCTATGTGGTACAAGGGGAAGTTATTAGTTGCATGGTATTTAATAAAAAGAACATCCAAAATGTATGTCCACATTCTGTTATCTTGGTGCTGTTGAATGCCTGCATGTCTGAGCACAGGTGTCAAATCTAGGCAGAGGGAATACTCTGCTTTGATCATCTAAGGTAACTGTGTAAGAGCAAAAGCAGAAGGAGCACTTCACATGCATTAATCAACAGAAAAACAGCATCTACCAGGACCAATAATAAGTTATTTTCATTATACACCACAGCACAATTGCCTCCATGCATGCTGGTGCTTCTAAAGCGGATACTTCTGCTGTCATCACATCCATCCACTAAGTAAAGATTTACACATGTACATCATTAAGGGGAACAAATCAAAAGGACCCCCTGAAATCACAACCAATGCACTGCCAAAGTAAACACGTTCATCTGTAATACTGATATCATGCCCCACCTCATTCTGAAATTGTCACATACCAAAAATATGAAAATAGTCAATTTCCCTATGGACTTCATCAGGGGGGCTTTAAAGCACTCTTTGTTCTACCTAGGTGCTATTAAATTATATTGTACAAATAGAGAGAGAAAGTAAAGTTGCCCCACGTAGCCTTTGCTTTCCCGTTTTTTCCCAGAAGGGAAGGATGATCTTGTGGTTGAGGCACTGGGCTGATAGTCAAAAGATCTAGGTTCAGTTCCTGGCTGACCTTGGCTACATCACTGAATCTCTCTGTGCCTCAGTTCCCCATAGAATAACAGGGTTGTAAGGGATCTCAGGATGTCATCTAGTCCAACCCCCTGCTTAAAGCAGGAACAATCCCAGACAGATTTTTCCCCCAGATCCTTAAATGCCACTGTCATAACTATAAAGGGAAGGGTGGCAGCTCTCCTGTGTACAGTGCTATGGAATCCCTCCTAGCCAGAGACTCCAAATCCTTTTACCTGTAAAGGGTTAAGAGGCTCGGGTAACCTGGCTGACACCTGACCCGAAGGACCAATAAGGGGGCAAGATACTTTCAAATCTTGGGGGGGGAAAGGCTTGTGTGTGTGCTCTTTGTTTTAAGGGGTGGTTCGCTCTTGGGACTGAGAGGGACCAGACATCAATCCAGGTTCTCCCCATCTTTCTAAACAAGTCTCTCCTATTTCAAACTAGTAAGTAAAAGACAGGCAAGGCGTCTTAGATTTCCTTTGTTTTCTCAACTTGTAAATGTACCTTTTACCAGAGGGTTTATCTTTGTTTGCTGTACTTTGAACCTAAGACAGAGGGGGGTCCTCTGAGCTCTTTAAGTTTGATTACCCTGTAAAGTTATTCTCCATACTGATTTTACAGAGATGATTTTTACCTTTTTCTTTAATTAAAAGCCTTCTTTTTTAAGAACCAGATTGATTTCTCCTTGTTTTAAGATCCAAGGGGGTTTGGATCTGCATTCACCAGGAGTTGGTGAAAGGAGGGTGGGAGGAAGGAGGGGGGATGGTTAATTTCTCCTTGTTTTAAGATCCAAGGGGGTTTGGATCTGTGTTCACCAGGGAATTGGTGAAAGGTTTCTCAAGGCTTCCCAGGGAGGGAATTCTTGTGATGGTGGCAGCGGACCAAAGCTAAGCTGGTAGATAAGCTTAGAAGTTTTCATGCAGGCCCCTACATTTGAACCCTAAAGTTCAAAGTGGGGATACAGCCTTGACAGCCACCCTCAAGGACTGAACTCAAAACCCTGGGTTTAGAAGGCCAATGCTCAAACTACTGAGCTATCCCTCCCCGCATCTGTAATATAGGGACAATGATACATCCTCAAAAGGCTAATGGATATGGAAGTGCTCAGATACCATGGTGATAGACCACATACTACCTATACAAATTGAGAGAAAAATGTATTATGCTGAAACAGAATTCCTAAGGGTCTAAGAATAAGGTTTGAGAGGAGTTTGCTGTCTGCAGTTCTCAGCTGCAGATTTCAATGCTTCAAATGAAACCCCTAACAAAATGGATGTAAAAGTTAGCGGGAGAGCAGCTTGCCATCTATAGCAGCAATTTTACATTACTATGATGTATTATATTAAAAGAGCCAGATGGCACTGGCTTGCACAATTTCCTCAGTATAGTTGGCTGCTATTTTTTTTATATATATATATACACACACTGGTAAATTATTGCCTTTTGTTTTTCATTGGACACCCTTTACCTAACAGCTGTGGTTTAGTTTCTATGGCTTTTAATCCTCTTCTGCAGCATATCTTCGCCTAGAAAAACAATATATACAGAAGCTACAAAAGATAAGCAAAAACAGCACAGTATGACTAATGATAAGAACTCCAACAGCAAAAATGTACAGGGTTTTATCACAATAATCCTGGGGCTGGTGGAAAGGTGGAATGAAATTTGGCAGGTAGATAGAAAACACCCAATAGTTCCCAAGTATGAACCAGATAAAGAGGAAGAGGCTGAGCGTAAGATGGATGTAGTATTTGTGAGCATTCTGCCGCCATGGATATTCATCATCGTCGTCATCATCAATCACGACAGATTTGGAAAGCAGTTGCCGCATCCTGGTGGAGTCATAAAGCAGAAGAGTCACCTGTATGTTGTAGAGACAAAGAAAGTGAATAAACAGAGCCACTGGCTTTAAGGGGTCAACTCTGTGAGGTGCTGAGCCCTCACCTCTTATAGACTTCAGCAAAAGCAGAGAGCACTCAGCAACTCTGAAGAACTGCTCAGAATGGTCAGGACTGGCCCCTATAAAAGCCTTCAGCAAAATTAAAACAATAATGTGGCACATAGGTGCCAGCTTCGTCCGGACCCAGGGGTACTCAACCCCACACTCTGCCCCAGGCCCTGCCCCCATCTGCCCTCTTCCCCCAAACCTCCACCCCTGTCCTGCCTCTTTCCCCCCCACTCCACCCCAGGCCCCACCCCCAAGTCCCCGCCCATCTCTTCCCGCCCCTGCCCTGTCCACCTCCTTCCCTGAGCTCCCTGCTCCTCCCTATTCCTCCCAGAGCCTCCTGCATGCCGCAAAACAGCTGATCACAGTGGGTGGGAGACACTGGGTGGGAGGGGGAGGAGTTTATCAGCAGGGCCACTGGCAGACGGGAGGCGCTGGGATGGGAGGAGGGAGCTGGCTGCCAGTGGGTGCTGAGCACCCACTAATTTTTTTCCCTGGGTGCTCCAGCCTACTACACAGACACTGCACCGCTCTAACTATACCAACGTAAGCCTTATGCCTCTCATTGAGGTGGGGTTATTATGTCGGTGTAGTAGGGCACCTACATTGGTGGAAGGAAGGCTGTAGTGTAGACACTGACATACTTAGGTCAACATGAGCTGCCTTATGTCGACCTAACTGTGTAGTGTACACAAGCCCCAAGTATAGAACTCACCACCAATTTGGGGTTTGTGCCCTGTTTTTTAACAGTCTACCCTTGAGCTACTGCAGGACAGCTTGGCAAGGTCCATCTATGGCTATTCACCAAGATGGTCAGAGATGCAACCCTATGCCCTGGCTGTCTCTAAACCTCTGACTGCCAGAAGCTGGGACTAGATGACAAGGGATGGATCACTCAATATTGCCCTGTTCATTGGATCTGAAGCATCTGTCACTGGCCACTGTTGGAAGACGGGATACTGGGTTAGATGGACCATTGATCTGACCCAGTATGGACATTCTTATGTTCTTACACATGAGTATAACCGAGGGTGGAATTGAACCAACTGGATTTAAGGTGATATACAAAGTGCTATTGAGGGGCTATGTTAAAACATGAACTATTCTAATCAAATTATTAAAATCAAGTAGGTCACCACATTACAAAATATAGGCCCAATCCTGCTTCCATTGAAGCCAAAGGCAGAGCCCTGATTGTCTTCAGTAGGAGCAGCATTGGACCCACGTATAGTGTCATTTTTAATGAGAACTGACGACAGGCTAATCACTAATGGCTAGCACAATTTTATTACTAATTAAAATCTTTATTAATCTCTGGTCAACAATATTAGGAGAGTTTCAAGCAATCATATTAAAATTGTGGAAGTCAGCATTGTTGATGAGGGTCGCAGTTCATTACAATGAAAAACTCCCCATTCCCATTTAATTTTCCTAAAGGAAAACTTAGCTGTTATTAATCTAATCCTCTGATTATGCTATTGCCGCAGGAAAGTCCAGCTGAGCAATCAAATGGCTGAGCATTTAACCGGTGGAATTCATGCACAGCAAATGATTTCTAACAAGCTTAAGTACTTTCTTTTCCCCATTCACTTATTTTGCTGAAGATACTGACCACAGCCCCTTGATGGGGACTATTCATTTCTCATTAGTGGGACCATATACTGAACCTATGCTGGGCAAGTGTAGGGTGTGTAGAGACCTCTTAGCAAGAGGGTTCTCTGCCTTTTCCCTCTTCATTGATCCGGGCACAAAAATGGGGCAAGAGACATGCATAAGGGGAGTGTAGCAGCGTGCAATGCTACTGTTCTCAGGTAAGAGACTGGCAGCCTTGACTTCAGGAGACAGGCTTCCCTTGCCTGGAACATTAGTTTCTCACAGCAGGGGACTCCTACCTCAATCAGATTCTCCCTGGAAAAGTGAGGGAGACTAAATGGAATAGCTAATTGGGAATATCGTACCATATATACCATAGTCTCTGTCTACATGACTACCTACCTGTGCCAGCAAGCAACTTAGGGGCGTCTGCCATGGGTTTTTCTTTGCAGTGTAGAGGGCACTACATGGTTATAGATCAGGAATGGGAACACTTTTTGGCCCAAGGGCCACATCTGGGAATAGAAATTGTATGGCAGGCCATGAATGCTCATAAAATTGGGGTTGGGGTACGGGAGGGGGTGAGGGCTCTGGTTGGGGGTGTGGGCTCGGGGGTGGGGCCAGAAATGAGGAGTTCAGGGTGCGGGAGGGGGCTCCGGGCTGGGGTGGGGGAGTGGTTGCAGGTGGTGGGGGGGTGAGGGCTCCAGCTGGGGGTGGGGGCTCTGGGGTGGGGCTGGGGATGAGGGGCTTGGGGTGCAGGAGGGTGCTCCAGGCTGGGATCAAGGGGTTTGGAGGGCAGGAGCAGGATCAGGACTGGGGCAGGGGGTTGGGGCATGGGGAGAGGCTGAGGGGTGCAGGCTCCAGGTGGCACTTACCTGAAGCGGCTCCTGGAAGCAGCAACATGTCCCTTCTCCGGCTCCTACACAGGTGGCTCTGCACGCTGCCTTGTCCGCAGCCACGGCCCCTGCAGCTCCCATTGGAGCGCCGGAGGGGGCCATTGAAGTGCGTAGGAGCCGGAGGGGAGCCATGCCACTGCTTCCAGGAGCTGCATGGAACTACCCCTGACCCTGCTCCCTGGCTGGAGCACCGGAGCACGGCAAGCCCCAGACCCCACTCCCCAGCGGGAGCTCGAGGGCTGACTTAAAATGGCTGGTGGGCCAGATCCATCCCACAGGCCGTAGTTTGCCACCCCTGTTATAGATTGTGTTACAGCATTACAGTCTCCATCATTACCTGGGATGTCACCCAGCTACAGGGATAACCCTGTCAGACAAGCACACACTGGCACAATGAGATTTGTAGAGTAGCTCAGACCAGAGAAACAGCTTCACTATTTTTTTGTTCAGTTTGTGTCTCCTCAAGAGAAGGAGCAGGGTCTAGAGGAGTTGGGGGGATTGTTAGAAGAGACAGAGCCTGATTCATTATTGCCCTGCACCTGGTGTAGTCATTTCCACCAGTGCAAAGGGAGTGCATGGAGCATGTGAAATGCAACCGTTCTGATTTGGTGGTATTTTATGCCCACTTTGAATTGGTGGGAATAACTAAATACTGTTCAGGGCAAGGTGAATAAGGCTCATTGATAGCTGAATTCCTCTCCTGTCAGCCTCCAAAGCAGGGGCAGATACATTTCAGAACAGATGCTGACTCTGGTTGTTACAGCCTGTTGACTAAATAAAGCTACCTGTTTTAATCTAGCGGTTTTAACTGTTTCAGTTAATTCCTGGAGAGGCTTCAGGGCAAGAATCTTCACTCTATGTCTAGGGAGATCAGACCACTAGTACAGGATTTCCAACCTTACAAAGTTTTAGCATCATTTACATGCAGCATGTGATGTTACATTAATCACTTACATCTGTGCCAGCCACTGAGATTGCTGCCTGGTTCACCTGTCCTCATTGATAAAAGAAATAAAATTCACCCAACCAGAAGCCATTGTCCTTTTATGGCTCAGATGCTCTTTGATTGGCTGAGATACACAATTACTATGTTCTCCTGAATGCACCAGCAGGTCCGTCATAGTACTGTATAGTGAGAAGTTGTTACTTTCCTGTACTAACATCCATTTATTCATTCTAGATCTATCATTTGATAAAATGGAAATCAAATCATTGTAGCAGAACATTTCCACAGGATCAATGCTTCTTGCTTTGGAGATAAATGTGCCTATTTTGTGGTGCAGCAAGGAATTATTATCCTGTGATATCATTCAGTTGCCTAGCTCTCAATCAACCATAAGAATTTAATGTAAATTCTTAAGTATCCTGTCTGAACACAGCTCACTTGAAACATACTTTATAATGTCAAAGTCTTGGCACATAAAACATTTTTCACATACAATGCACAGTACCTTTAAACTGCCGACAACACCACCCACCAACAGATATAAGGGAATTAGTGGTTGAAGTGGGCAGTCTTCCAAAAACTTCATTCCTGAGTACCAAAAATATAATATCGTTTATTACCGTAAGTGGCCAAAATACCAGTATATGCTTTACAGAAAAAAATAAAGATGCAGTAAGTGCAGTGTAGTACTTACAAATAAGCTTCTGGTCCAATCAACATTAAGGTCAGTGGGACTGAATTAAAGGGGCTTTGCATCAGACACAACACAAATGAGGATAATGAACAAACAAAAAGGCAGGGAAGGGAAGAAATAGAACGAAGGTCACAATATCAAGATTATGGGGTTACTCATTTGAGCCAGGTGCATGTTTTTATGGCTCTGTTCATCTTTTGTTACGTGTATTATTACATATAGAGCTGGTCAGAAAAATTCCAACAATTTCAACAAACTTCGGATGGACCCTAAACTGTTTCCTGCCAGGTCGTCTGTCCAGCTCCTCAGCAGCCTGTGAACCAAGAGCCTCGGACCTTGGGAGCAATCCCAGGGCTTCCTGGCTCCACTGCAGTCTGGACAAAGCGCGGGAAATGTGCTGCCAGGAATGATCCTGCATGGTCAGGGAGATGGACTCTGATCTAAAGGGTCACTCCATCTCTAGCTTTGCTTTTTGGAATTTTTAATGACAAAATTTCATTCCTACTTGTTAAAATTTGAAAGTAGATAAATAACCAAGTGGTTGAAAAGATCTCAAATTTTTATAGTTAGGAATTATGGGCTGTTCTTCATAAATATTGATCTGCACTATTATTTGCATAGTTACAGATCTGTTAATATTAGATAAATATCTAGAAATTCTCTCTTTGACTAGGGCCAAAATGATTGGATGCACATCAATAATCGGATCTATCGAAATCAAGTCATTGTGAGAGATCATTGTAACAGAATGTTATCAGAGAATTCGAGTCCCTTGCTTAGATAATAAATGTCTGCATTTCGCCTTGACATTTAATTTTCCTTAAAATGCCTTCGCAGATATGTAGCTGTTGGAAACCATTATCCTGTGACAACGCTGTATTACACTGACAGTCTCTCTTAATTTCAGCAAGTCATGAAAAAAGGACTCTGCGTCTGATGTGGGAAGTTACCCACAGCTCTGGGCTAATCCCCTAGAATAAATGCCACATTTTCACCTCGAAGTTTCATACATTAAAATCTATTACTAGAAGGGGATATTAACAACAAAAGGTCAGATTCTAGCCCAGGGCCGGTGCAAGGAAGTTTCGCGCCCTAGGCAAAACTTCCACCTTGCGCCCCCCCACCAGCCCTGCGGCAGCCCCCCCCCCCCCCCACCCCAGCGGCAGCTCCCCACCCCCCCGGCCCGGGGAGCCATGCGGCAGCTCCCCACCCCAGCTCACCTCTGCTCCACCTCCTCCCCAGGCTAATTTTTCCCCTACTGTTACTCACACCTTCTTGTCAACTGTTTGAAATGGGCCATACTGATTATCACTACAAACGTTTTTTTTCTCCTGCTGATAATAGCCCACCTTAATTGATTAGTCTCGTTAGAGTTGGTATGGCAACACCCATTTTTTCATGTTCTCTGTGTAAATATATCTTCCTACTGTATTTTCCACTGCATGCATCCGATGAAGTGGGTTTTAGCCCATGAAAGCTTATGCTTTAAATAAATACATTTGTTAGTCTCTAAGGTGCCACAAGTACTCCGCATTCTTTTTGCTGATACAGACTAACACAGCTACCACTCTGAAACCTGTCATACTTCCCAGTGTTCATAAAAGTACTTTAACTGTGAAATTATTCCTGTAGTGCAACCAAACCACTGTAGGAAAGAGCAACATTCACCTTTTTGTTTGTTTAGTTTGTAGCTCAGACCTGAGTCCAGCCATACCCAGCCTTCTTTATACTTAGAGGCATGTGAATTGTGTTTGAAATGAATATTTTTTCAACTGCAACCTGAAGAGTGTTCAGTGGATCAGAAAGAGCAGTTCACTCTTTTGGCTGTTTGGAGGTGAATTCATATACTGGACATATACTGTACAGTGCACTCTATTTTGTTCACAAGCAATTCAATGACTTGCACATAGGGTGACCAAAGAGCAAATGTGAAAAACTGGGACAGGGGGTGGGGGGTAATAGGAGCCTATATAAGAAAAAGACCCAAAAATCGGGACTGTCCCTATAAAATCAGGACATCTGGTCACCCTACTTGCACCATGTCTTTTATTCAGGATGCAAGTTCTGGGTGAAATTGCCTTTGTACCTGTTTCTTGCTATTTATTATCAGTATTAGTATTATTTTAGCACTTATATGGTTGTTTTCATCTTCAACTCAGGTTCCAATAACTGGGCCAAATCCTGCTTGAGTCATATGAATAATCCCATTGGAGTCAACAGGATTGCCAAATGGGTAAGGTGAGCAGTATTTCGCTACTAATTAAGTTTCCTGACACTGCTGTGAGGTAGATAAGAAAATTAAAAGAGCCACATTTCATAGATGGAGAAATTTAGGAAAAGAGGTTAGGTGGTTTGTCCAAAACTACAGAAGGAGTCGTCAGAACTGGGATTAGAAGGCCGGAATTCCTGGCTCCCCATATAAATGGCTGCTATGGTCGTGCATCTGAAGCCTGGATATCGCCCCAGAAGCTTACAGGGTGAAAAATAATAGTGGAAGGGATGGAGTTTATCATTACGAGTCTGACTCCTATTCAGCATGCTTTTCCCACATAACTCTGCCAACCTGCTTTGATAATGACCTGCACACCCCACGCCAGCTTAAGGAATCACCGAAGCAGATATCAACAACCATAGCAAGCTCTGTGGTGATTTTATGATGTGGACAAACAGATGTAGTGACAAGTATGTACTGTATGACGTCGACAACGATATGTGGTGACATCACCAAAGTCAGGTACACTTGTGTCATAAATCAGATTCAAACTAATCTTTTCACAGGTGGCATTGCTATATAACTATAAAATACCACCAAGCTCCTCTCTTTAAACGTCTTAGATAGACAGCTTACCTGTAAAAGCCATGGACAGTGGTAAAGCAAGGAAAGCAAGAAGCCCAAAAATAAAGCATGCTGTAAAGAAACAAGAATGGTGGGTTATTCAGGTGGCAGTATTTCAGAAGATACCACATCCTATTAAGTATGTCCCCTTGCACCACGCATGTGGACAAGGAGTGTCCATAATCCAATGCAATGAGAGCTTCATTTGGATTGTGTGGGATCAGTGATGACTGGGTTGTGGTGTATTTCACCTGCTGACACTGAATTTTACAGTGATACTTGAGCAGTCTCACCACCTTGGAGCAGCCAGTAATAGCCTATTCATCATGGGCCTGAAGTCCTTCTATTGAACTCCGTGGGCTGTGGAGCAGGCACCATACCAGCACTGGTGGTGGCTTCATCATCTTCTGCAAAATTCAAGCGTTCATTTTCAAATTATTATGTTTCCAGCCCTTGTAATGGTAACAAAAGTTTTCCAAATGCATCCCAATGCAGCAGTGTCTGCCTACCTGTGCAAGACGACAGAAACAATTGCAGCAAGATAAGTGTGAATTCTCCCTATTCTTATCAATAGTGGTCAGCTTTGGAGCCTAATGATGGGCATTCAGCATTGTTAAAATGAAATTCTGCACCGCAAAGTAACCGTAAAAAGGTTATTATGGAGTTCCAGGGGTCACATGTTGCTCAGGTTGCAAACAGATCCCAGTGGTGAGTAAGAGCACTAAAAGGAGGTCGAGGTGGCTTAGATAGAAAAAAGCCACTCTAGAGAAAGGCAGTATGATGTTTCTTTGGAGGGCCGAGTTTGCCAAATTTGAACCTTGAACTGTAGGGCATAGTCCCCAGGTAGCTTTGCACAGCTCAGCCCTGCTAATTCAAACCCCCTCCTCATGTCTCAGTGCACAGGAACGGATGGAGCCCCAGCACCGTTAGCAGCTGCACCGGCACACATAGCTATTATATAGCATGTCCTGTTCATAGACCTCAGAGTGCTTTCCAACTGAAGGTAAGTATTATTATCGCTATCTCACAGAAGGAGAAATGGAGACACAAGGGAGTAATAACAATCAAGGGCAGTAACAGATCTGGGAACAGAACCCAGGTCTCCTGACTCCTAGCCCTGGGCTCTAACCACTGGACCATGCTACCTCCCATACACTACATTAACTTTATTAGCTGCGTACTGAGGTCTGAGCTCTTACACTTCACTCCTTCAGCCCCAAACATAGCGTATGTAACATATCCACTAGCTGAAAAGGGCTGAAGGTATTTCGAGATGAAGAAAGCATTTCTGTTTCTTCATCCCCCCTCCATTTTTTTTTCTGCACCATCCTCTCTCTTTTTCTCAAACACTGCCCAGTGCAGCAATTCTCCCTGTTGTCAGGTGTTTGCAAAGAGGCCTACACTTGGCTAAGCTCTTTCAAATGGCCTTTATAGACAACCTCTCATTAAAACAATGGATGCCAAGTTCTATACTATGACCCTCTCACTGTTCCATTACCCAGATTATTATTCAAATGGCCTTTATAGACAACCTCTCATTAAAACAATGGATGCCAAGTTCTATACTATGACCCTCTCACTGTTCCATTACCCAGATTATTATTCTAATACACTGGAATGATTTTGAACTCTAAACCTTACCCGTGAACACTACCAGTTGCCTTGGTAACCCCATTTACTTAATATTCCAGAGAGGACAGTTCAGGTGTTCAGTAGTTGAGTTAACTGTCTGGAGTTATAAGTAAGTAGCATGACTAGTGTAGCAGAATGTAGGTCATCTCTTCCACTGCCATTTTCCCTCTCCAGCCTTCTCCTACACTCACCATGTGGGTACAGAATAAAGAGAATCGTAGGAAGAAGAATCATGATTCTTTAATGTGCAATGGATATTTTCTATGATCAGTTCCAAAGAAAAAACACTGGAATAGGCTCCAGTATACTCTATAAATGGCTTGGCGGGGCACATGTACATGTAGAACTGCACATCTGGCACACAGGTGTTTGGTTTTGTATTTGCCTGCTTTCTATCAACTAGCTTGATTTTGGAGGAGGAAAAAGGCAGCAGGGACCACTCAGAGCTAGAGAAAAAGAAAGATAATGGTTAATCAATTCTCTTCCCCAAGCAGTCACTGGGAATGTATTTCCTCATTATCGCCCCATTCAGCCTCATGCTCTGAGATTTCGCTTTGGAGCAGCAGATGCATGGTCTGGGAATGTTTCCAGATTCATGTTTAACAAAGTGAGACACTCAACAATTGACTATACAATTGGCAGGGTTCTGTAGCCAGTCACAAAGCGTCACCAAGGCCGGCTCTGGCTTTTTTGCCGCCCCAGGCAAAAAAGCCGCCGGCCGCCCCCCTCCCCCTCCGCGGGGGGGGGGAGGGTGGCCGGAGCCCTGGGAGGAGGGCGGCAAACCCCGGCTGGGGCTCGCCGCTCTCCCCGCGGCGGCCGAGGGAGGGTGGTGAGCCCGGCCGTGGCCCCGCTCTCCCCGGCGGCCAGAGCGCCGCGCCGCCCCCCTCCAGGTGCCACCCCAAGCACAAGCTTGGGGGGCTGGTGCCTGGAGCCGGCCCTGAGCGTCACTAGCAGCACTAAAGATTGTTTTCCCTGATACTTGTGGAGTTTTCCTCTAATGGCACAGATAGATACTGGCTGTTTTGTCTAGGTTGTGCTGCCCCTGACTGGACTTAGGACAAATCAATGGAAAATTAGGAACCTAAATACCTTTGTGGAGCTGGGCTAAGCTGCCCAGGAAAACCTTTTGTTAACTGCAGTATGCAAAGGTAGTGCAGACAGTGCCATGCTCCTAGAGCTGGGAATAGCTCTGTATTTACAACAGTTCATGGAAGTGAAATGGCAACATTTCTGTGTTGGTGGCCATATCTCCTCACAGCTGGGCGAGAGAAACCCACCCTCTAGGATCCGACCCCTCATTGCAAGTGGCAAGAAAAGGAGCCTTGTGTTCTGGGAGCACACTCACAAGACAAGGGGAGATGGCTGCCTGATTTTCCAAGGTTGGTCAGGAAGAAACTGTGTTCTGGGAACCCATACCTGGAACCTGGACAACTGGGTGGGGAGGCAGGTAGTCAAGAAAGCCCCCTGCTCTGGGAATGTCTCATTGGATTGCAGGGAGGAGGAGAAGTTTGTTCCCATGTGTTTGGCCCAAAAGAGAGCCTTTAATGGAGAGGGCCTGCTGTGTTGGGAAGTGGATGACTGGGAAGAGCTCATGCTCTGGGAGCCTGGAAGTGCAACCATAAGGAAGCAGCTGGGTTAGGTTCTGCCCATTCTCTGAACTTTGCGGTCAACAGCAGAATTTGAATTGTGGGCGTGGACACTGAATTTTCAGGCACCACAGTGACTCTGTCCATGGGCAGAGCATAATGGAGGCTGGGGGAGGCTAAGCCTCCTCAAACCTCTGCTAACACTCCCCGCCACAGCCCCAGGCCCAGGCTGTGGCAGGGCTCAGAGCTCCTCCAGGGAGCTGGGGCTCGGGGCAGCCCAGGCTGGCGTGCGGGGTGGCTCAGGCTGGCCAGCTGGGGTTCTGGGCGGCTCAGGCGGGTTGGCCTGGAGCTCCTCCAGCCACAGTGGGGGGCTCGGCGCTCCTCTGGCCCCAGCAGGTGAAAGCGGAGGCGGGGCCTTGGGTAGAAGGGGAGGGGTAGGGGCAGGGCCTGGGCAGAAGGGGCAGGGTAGGGAGCTAGCCTCCCCGAATGGGGGGTGTATGTGCCACCCATGACTCTGACCCTTTGTCTAGCAGAGTTACTAGTTTCTGATCTGTCTCCTGCTTGACTCTCTCCTTCTCTTCTTCCCTCTGATGGTTTGAGATCTAAGCTGTTACTTTGTCCCTAGCAACACCATTGTGCCACCGCTCTCCATCCTGCCCGCCCTCGCCTCTCCTCCAGCACGCTTTTGCTGTCTCTAATTACATGCTGAGGTTTAGGCCACACAGCCGACCCCTCTCTCTCATCCTGTGAAGGAAATGGGTTACCACAGAGTACTTAAATGATGCCAATTCATTTGTGGGCTCCTCAGCCTTTATTGTGTTACTATTATTGTTTAAAGAATGTTTGAGGTTTCACATTATCTCAAGCCATTAGATTTACTTCTTTTTAAAAAAAATCCAAAATACAGTGCTAAAATGGCAAGCTAAATAATAGTTTGCTTCGTGGTATGTGTCAGAATTTTCAAAAGTGGCTGAGGAGCACAGCCCATCCACCCACCTTTCTTAGATACCATGATGACATGCATGTGGTATAAGAACCCAGATGGACCAGGTTACAAGCTCTCCCGTGTTTACCTGTCATGTTGCTGGCCATACTTTTACCATCACTCCTAAATGCTGTTTGTTCTATAGCCTGCTGTATGTTTTCGTAGGAGTCTGCAGCGATTTGCTAAGAGATCCAAGGGGTCCCCTTGGTAGGACACCACCAACTTCCAGATGAATTCCATACTTACCTAAGTGTTTTGCTATAGCACTGTGAACTCATCAAATGTAACTGTGGAAAGTGGCAATGTAACGGGCTTAGGTGCACAATGTGTAGATACATTTATTAATATTTTATTGCTTCACAGTAATAAAAGCAATTCTCCAGAGCAGGGTTAGGGATTTAGAAAGAAGATCTGATATAGTTGGGTGGGGGTTGGTGTAACTGTGTGTGTATGGTGTATGTGAAGCCTGGTCTACACTACAAAGTCAGGTTAACATAAACCGCCTTGTGTTGACCTAGCTGTGCATGTGTCTACACTTAAATTTGTCTCCCATCGTTGTAAACGCTCTAGTACACTGATATTATAATACCACCTCCCCAATTGGCGTTAAGCCATGGTCAACGTACAGAGGTCGATGCAGCACAAAGGTAGACATTGAGTTTCTTATGTTCACCCTAATGGTCCTCCAGCAGCTGTCCCACAATTCCCCACACTGACCGCTCGGGTCACAATTGTGAACTTCACTGCCCAGACAGTGGAAGCCACACCCCCTTAACAGCCACACAAATTTTTGAAATGCCTTTTCCTGATTGTCCATCTTGGTGACCACACCCAGCAGCTCTTCACTGTTGTGTGCAACTGCCCAGCTG